GCCAGCTGATATTCATCCATCTGTGTTTGTTATGTAACCACTTCAACGTTTTAGAGTACAACGACTAAGTACACTGTATAGTTTACTCTGCCTCAAAGCTTCCGCTGCTTCTTTGCACACAGTGGACTCTGACGGACTGTGGCGATTTTACCCAAACCCAGAACCACAAAATATTTTTATTTTATTTTATATTATATTTGTGGTTCTGGGTTTGGGTTTGGTTCTGTTTATTGCGTATATGATTCAATGCAACAAAATGAACAAATTTAAAAGGTAACAGATCATTGTAAAACTTGTTTTATTTACATAATGATTTTAATCGCTGGATGTCAGGCCCCTGAGCTGCTGGCTTTCAATAACTGTGGCCCCCTGAATAGTTTAGTTGAATAACAATGATTTAAAGGGTAGAATACAGTTTATTCCATTTCCAAAACCTAAACTGAGTCTGAAAAAATGTAAAAGAAGACAAAGCCGACCTCATGATTAGCTGATTACACCAGTGATAAACAGGAAGTAGCACACGTTCATCTGTACGAAGGTACCTACAGGTAAATCCTCCATTTCCTGTCATGATTACATTGTATGCTTAATGGTTAAATTAAAGATTAATGCTGAAAGCTAGTTTTGCTTTGCTTTGTGTGTTTTAAATGTATATACCTGTATATGTTGCAACTAATGGTTGCATACGTTTAGTCTTTGTTTGTTATGATCAGTTAACACAAAACTGATTTTGTACCAAGTGTTAATTAGGGTGTGTAATGTAAAGCAGAGCACAACATCTGTAGCATGTTAGCTATCGCGTCTGTGTTGCATGCTGCTAGCTTAGCGCTTATTCTTGTCACTCTCTAAAATAGTTGTTGAATCAAGTGTTTACTTATATAGGTAAACAAGATGTTTAACAACCTGTTAAAATACATCAGAATGCAGGAAATAGCAGCTACTTTATTCAAAATTTTCTGGGGGAGAACTCCCAGACCCCTTCCCCCACCACCACCACCAGTACCTCCCACCCTCCCACATATGCTTCTGACACCAATGGCCACCACGTTGTTCAAGCCAAGAGCCATTGGGTATGTTTACATGGACATAAGTAACCGGATCAAATGGCCGGTCGGAATAAAAGTGTCATGTAAACACTCCGTTCGGGTTACTTTTTGTGTATTCGGCGCAATCCGATATAATTTGTGATCAGAACGAAACGGGTGGTTTACGCCGATCCAAACGCGCTCGGTGCGCATGTAAACGCTTGATCTGTTCGTTTTTATCTGATGGTGAAAAACTGACCTGACTGCGCATGTGCGACTTTGCCATTTCCACCTGGCTAACGCTAATAATATTAGCATGTCAGGGAAGTAAAACTGGTCGGTGAGCGACACAACATTTCTACTAGAAACTTTTAAAGAGCTCAAAATGATTTCTATCACCTGTAACTCAGTCAGGGAGTGCAATAACGTCTCCACCATCATTAAAACCTGTCGCGGGTCCATTTTGGGTGCTCAGGTTTGTTTACGTTCACCCGGAAGTAGAACTTCTTCTTCTGTGTTTTTTGTAATGAGAGTTTACCACTCTGCACATGTCAGTACTGCTGTTCAGAACAAAGCCCGCTGCATGTAAACGCTAGTCATGAACAGATTGTGCCCATGTAAACGATACAATTGAATTATTCAAACAGAACACATTTCAATCCGGTCAAAGAATTCTGCGCATGTAAACATAGCTAATGTCATTACTGGGGGCTGAGCCCCCTAAAGGTCAGCTTCTAGAATCGCCCCTGCTGACTGATATTGAAATTAGTACTCGTAGGTTGAATCAAAAATCAGCTTGAATCAGCTTTGAATTATGCAGCTTTTCAGTTGAAACTCGGTTTCACATCATGAGCCCAAGATTTAGAAAAAATGTTTGTGGTTTCTTGTTTACATTACACAAAATGTACCTGCTTCTGCTTCTGCTTTCTTTGTTTCTGACATTTAAACAGCTCTCTTCTTTTAACCTGGTTATAAATAAGTGTAGAGTATCGAACACATAGGACTCCTAAAATACAGAAAAGCTCATTGCAGGTACAAAGTAGAACAAAGTTGTTAAGAACCGGCTCTGAGGGAACAGTATGTCAGTTTCCCCCTGGTTTAACCACAGCCCAGAATATGCAAAAACATGGAAAGAAGCATGTTCCTACGTGTCCCATTCATCTGTCCCAACATTATGACTTTTTTCACCAGCTGCCTGCTTGACCCTAGACCTACTGGGTCGTCCACATTGGGCCCAGCTGCTGTGAAATGTAGGGCACATGTGAGCCCTATGTGGCTCAGCCCACTGCCAAAAGTTGGAGGTCCATGCTCACAGTTTAGGAAGGTCCATTGAAACCGCTCTGGGGTTTAACGATGTATCTACAGAACACAAATGTGTGTGTGTGGTAAGTAGATTAATTTATGCAGTTTTCATAACAGCACTGCATTAACACAAAAAAAGCTGAAATAGCTACTTAATTTATTCCAAGGACATAACAAAATCAGACACTTTTCCAGAAAATGTGCACATGCAGAGTTAAAATGTGACATAATCTGCCCTTCTGTCTGCTTCTTGTGTTTGTCACTCTGTTGTTCCCTGCCATTCTTCACTCACTCTGCCCCAGCCTTATTTAAACCTCTCTTCTTCCCCACTAAGACTCATGCTGTGTACAGACGGTCCGGTCCTCCTCTGTTCTGCTCGGTCCTGTCCCTGTTTATCTGATTGACCCGTTCTGTCCTGTTCCTGCCCGTCTGATAAACTGTTCTGTCCTGTTCCTGTCCGCCCGTGGCTCGTGTAAGTTTTGCTGCCTCGCCAGCATTTTTGTTTTGTTGTTAAATTAATTATCTTATTAAAAAACTTCTGCTCTCCTTGCCTTCCTGCAAATGGGTCTGAAAACTGAGGATTGTGATAAACTGTTGATGAGTGTAGTTTGAAAACTGAACAAAACACAACTCATTGGATCTCTTCACATCTTTCTACTTTGCAGAATAAGTCAAAGCAAAAAAACAACAACAAAAAACCCCAACAAACAATGATAAATCCATTTATTGATCACATTTAAGTTCTCATGGGTCAAGAATAGTTTATATAAAGGCTCTGCTTGTTTTATCAGTTTTGTGTTCATAACCCACATTTAACGTTAAATTTTGTGTAAACAAGATGCAGAAGTTAAAACAATGATATCAGAAGAAATATCTGTTTTCACAGGAAACAGGTGCTGAAGTCATCATTTCACCCTTTAGATACGATCGATAGATTTATCAGCCCCTGCTTTGAATATACCATACTTTCCACCATACATGTCGCTTCGCTGCATACATCACATCTATGATGCGTCACTGTGGACCACCCGGAAACGTAGGTCGGTGTTGTGCCAAAAAACATTTGGCTGCCAAATGGCGACCGCGGGAGCATGCACGGGAGGACTTTAACTAAATGTTAACAAGATTAACACTTAAAAACAATCGTTTGTTTGCTCAAAATTGTAGCAAAGGTGTGTCTCAGTTTAACTTTTCCTTAATAAATGCACTTTGATGGTCAAATCAGTTGCGTTTCAAAAGCAGATTCGCGGCTGCGGGAGCACGCAGAGGGAGGACTCGCTGTGCATTTCTTCGAAAGTTAACAAGGTAACCACTGACAAAAGGCAGCACGGTGGCAGAACTGGTAGAGCTGCTGCCTCTCAGCAAGTAGGTCCCTGGTTCAAATCCCGGTCCAGGGGGCTTTCTGGGTGGAGTTTGCATGTTCTCTCCGTGCATGCGTGGGTTTTCTCAGAGTGCTCCAGTTTCCTCCCACAGACCAAAAACATGCATGTTAGGCTGATTGGTAACTCTAAATTGTCCCTAGGTGTGAGTGAGAGAGAGAATGGTTGTTTGTCTCTATGTGGCCCTGTGATGGACTTGCGAACTGTCCAGGGTGTACCCCGCCCCTCGCGCAGTGATTGCTGGACATGAGCACCGGCGACCCCCGTGACCCAAAAATGGAAGAAGTGGGTAAAAGATAATGGATGGAACCACCGAAAAACAATTATTTGTTTGCTCGCCATTATAGCAAAGGTGTGTCTCAGTCGAACTTTTCCTTAATAAATGCACTTTAATGGTCAAATCAGCTGCAGTTCACCTGGGCGGTGCAGTGAAATGCAGCTGATTTGACGTTTGTGCCAGTTCTGAAGCGAGACGAAGGTGGCTCTGAATGGCAAGCAAACTGTCTCATTAATAGCCACTTTTACCGATTAATGAGACACTTGGCTTGCCATTTTACTCAAGTGCCCTCTAGTGGCTGAAAATGGTAGTGTTCAATATTTTCCATGTCAGAATGAATGAAAACGTCAGATGTCAGTCAAAAATTTATTATAAATATGGAGAAAAAAATACAAATACATTGCTTCGCTGTATAAGTTGCAGAGTGTGCAAATTTATGCCAAAAAACTGTGACTTATACGGCGAAAACTACGGTAAACTGATTCTCCTGAGCTCTCCTTGTCATTTCACATTTTGAAAACTGAAACTTGGGGTACCAGTAATCCAGATTTCACTGGGAGCCGTGTGAACATTATTTTTCAGATTCATCAGAGAGAAGCAACAACTGTTATTGGAAATGTTTATAATTCATGAAAGGGAACAACAGTCTTCAGGAGGGCATCAAAAACCATGGCAGCCCTTCTTTACACGGCAAACTAAACACCAGACTGTAATCTGAACAAACTGGGTGAAATGCAACTGTTTGTCACTGCAAGTCTTTCATGCTGCTCATATCAGCAGGTCTCTCTTCAGGCACAAATGCAAACACACACTTGGTATGTACGCATTAGTTTGTTGGTGGTTTGACTGGTTTTCTTGCTTGCACAAACAGTGGGCGCACCCTTTAGAAACACACATGCGCTGTCACCTCCTCAGGCCAGGTGTAGGGATGGTGATGGGAGGAGGAGTGGGGTGGTGGTTTATTATCCCTGTGAGGGTGGAGCAAACAGGGAGGTGAAGAAAGCATTTGAAGCTCGTATTGACATGCAGCTCTACTCCTGTGAGCACAGGTAAGAATGAATAAACTTCATGGCAGTTTTCCTTCATTTTAATGTTCCTGCTTGATGTCACTAGATTATTTTTAAATTTCATGATTCTATAGTAGCATGGCAGGGGTTTGTGACACAAGTCAACTAGAAATACAGGCTGGTCATGTTCCTGTCAGGTTTGAAGACAGTTTCCTCATTAGTGCTGGTTTGATTTAAATTTAGCTCTGACAGGCAGGCAGCTGGACTTTTTGACTTGTTAGCAGAGTCTTAATGTTCATTACCAAAGTACACAATGAAATGTGTCTCACAAACTGTGAGGGCGTTCACTGAGCTTGTGAAATACTTTGAATAAAATGTCATGGAGGTGTTTCTTGTTTTGAAGGTGTTCAGTGTTAACTGACATTGCTGAGCTCTTCCAGCATGAGACAAAATAATAATAATAAAAAACTTCATTAAAAATATTTTTTGTGTTTGTTGTCTTGCAGCCATGGATGGTGTGTTAGAAAGAGCTGTGGTGTTGTGTTCGTGTAAACTGGCCTGCAGTCTTCTCTTCCTGCCTTCGCTTGCTGCGTCCCACAGTCCTGTGAGCTTCTGCTGCTGCTGCCTCCTCATCTTCACGGACTTCCTGGTTACAGGTGAGGACAAGACCAGGTGTCCTGCCCACAGCAGGCCTCTAATTAAATGTTTTCACGGCCAGTTCAGCCAGTTTTCCTGCCAAAGCTAAGTGTTTTGACAAGTCACTTGAAGTCACAGTTTGGATTATTAATACACTACATACTGTCCAAAAAAAAAAAAACTTAAGTTAGCTTATCATGTTCTGGAGTTCTGTTTTGCTGACCTTCGGTGTTTTAGCCTTCTCAGATGTGGTTACAGGTGCAACAGAGCCAGCTTGCTTCTGACCACACCCAGCTGCTTAATCAAAGAGATTAAACAAATTTAAAGCTTTCAGCTGCTGAGGGCATCAAAACCGTTTAATACAATAAGCTTGAGTTCCTGCTCGCCCATGAACGCTCATAACACACTGCAGGAACTGGACAGGAGGTGTAAGAGGATGATTCACTGCTCTTTACTAGTCTTAAAAGGCTGCAGTGACAGCACATAGCCACTTCTTGTGATCGCAGCTGCATTTGATCAGGTTTTGGCTGTTTTTGTAGCTAAATGGCTGAATTCAGTGCTACAGATGCAAATGACTGACAAAAAATGTAATCCATTATGAGTCATTTTGACTCTGAAAGCAGGGGTCTGGTAGATGATGACGTTTATTCCAGGAATCCTGCGGGTCACGGGATTCTGGCAGGACAGGAGTCAACTTTAATATAACTCACAGGATTGGGATGGGACAGGACAAAAAGTTAACGGGACCAGACAGGAGCGGGAACCATCTAATAGGACAAAAAATAAAATGAAAAAATAAAATACTTTGGACAGGCGTCACTATTTTGTAGTTTTCTTTCAATAACCTTCACTCTGGAATACTAGACTTTCAATACTCCAGTCGATGCGCTGGTCTGGTGAGCTACATCGTAGAAACGAGCTTGTTGCCTATTGTGAACTTCTTGAGGACGTCATCCAATGTATAATAATGCCTTTAAGCATTTTTATTTGTTGAGTTCTTTTGCTTGGTACATTTTATGTATTTATTTATTTATTTTTGTTTAATCAATTTGAAACATGACAGTAATGTCATTGTTTAAAGGAAACAATTGATCAATAAGTTAGTAAATGCAACTTTATATGTTATGTTTGGGTTCATGGTGTGACCCATGTACTGTTGTTGTTGTTTTGTTTGTTTTTTACTGTAATTGACCTCCAGAAGAGCTAGCAACAGGGACTCAGCAGCTGATCCTCCGTAAAAAAAAACTATAGGAACCACAACAAAGTCCATGCTCAATAATCCAGGTATACAATCCAACATTTTTCAGTCAGGATTATTGAGCATAGACTTTGTTGTTTTCAACCAGTTTGACACGACTGTCAACAAAGAAGAGGGACGGCAATGGAGGAGGGGGCGTGCCAAGAGACCATCTTAGCACCAACATAACTGGTTTGTTCCACTTTGGAGTAAGCTGTTGGGGGAAGAATCAGTTTTGTTGTGTGTTTCCTTGACTGATGAAGCCTTCTGGATCAAAGGTGAACCGTTTCAGCACACAAAAAAGAAACTGTCCAGATGACCTGACAAAAAAATGTTGAATCACACATTTCACATTTTCATATTAAGAAACTGGTCCAGATGATATTTAACCAGTTTTGTTGTTATCTACCTGGATTATTGAGCTTACAAACCTTTTTTTATAGGGACTGTTTTGTGACCTTTAGTGAAGGTTTTTGTTTGGATTAATGCCTCCTTATTTCACCACAGATAAACTGTTCCTGTTGTCATATGTTTTGAAATAAAACTGTAGAACACAAAATAATATAAAAAGGAATGGGTAGAAAATCAATTCAAATTCAATTCATTTCCTAAAGACTAAATGAAGAGGGAAAAAAATGGGAGTGGTACAGGAGTGGGAGTCATTCAGAATGGGAGCAGGAGTTACCAGGAGTGGGACAGGACAGGAGTGAAAATCCACTCCCGTGTCATCCTCCAGTGTCTGGGTGTATTCTGCACATTCTCTGCATCTTTCTGACTATGCCTTCCACTGGAGTAGATTCTTGACCAGAGACGCTGCAGGGCGGGTGCCACTTGGACACAGCTCAACTTCTTACAAATCGTAAACTTTTTTAATAGTTGCTGGCTGTTCAGGTTTAACTTTAATAAATAGTTTGGGGGGGTGTTCTGAAGAGACTTCTCTAAGACGACTGTCATGAATTACTTTCAGAGTAAGTCACACTATGATTTCTGTTCCCACAGGTTTTTTGAGTCTCCTTTGCGTCTTTAAGTCCTGGGTGACTGACGTGAGCCCACCGGGTGATGTCATCGCCCTGCGCTTCCTGCTCTTCCTCAGCCACACCTACGGAGCCGTGCTGCTCTTGACCACATTTCTGATTGCTCTGGAGAGCCTGATCAGACTGCTGTGGCCTCACCTCTCTGTCGATCACAGGACAGAGAGCCAGACGGTGGGCGTCGATGGTCAGGGTCGGTACGTTCTGGATGGAAATGCCAAAGAGGCGAAGGAAGACAACAGGAGCTTGCATCAAGTTGTCGGCTTCTTCTGCTGCCTGTCTGTGTGGTTCATCTCCGCCCTGAGTGTCAGCTGGCACTGGAAGATGGAGGAAATATGGGCTGCTGTTTGTTTGCACACAACCAACTCTCTTGTCAGATGTCTGCCTAACGCATTAAGTCCCTTGCCAATAAATCTCTGCTGGGGTATCCTTTTTCTCTTCGTGATCCTTGTGACCATGAACAGCTGCCTGCAAAAACGATGCCAAGTCCCTGCACAGACGCAGAAACCTAATGACAAGAACCCATGTAGCTGCTGCAGGCTAAACCTTCTTCCAGCACTGTCTGCACCCCTTAGGCCTGCGCACCCTGGGGCGCCGGTGGCAGAGCCGGAGGAAACGGAGAGCAGCTGCACGGGTAACTCTGCACATTCCTGCAAGAGCATGCAGATGTTGATGCGTCACCATGGAAATTTTGTCCTCGTCGCCACTTGTTCGTCTGAAAAGAGGAGTATACAGGAGCACGAGAGGACGAAGAAACACGTACCTTTGACATTTATTAGAGAAGAGCATTTGGACTCTCGTCACATGTGTGGATGGCGGCTGTGGGGTTTTCCAAGCCCCGAGGAGAATTTGATAATGGGGTTAGTGAGCGTGCTTTCCATTTTCATGCTGCCCTTCAACCTCAGCGTGAATATTCTTCTGATCAGAACTATTGACTTTGTGCTGGATCGGTGCATCAGATCTTTACTCTCATCTGCATCAAATATCAGAGACACAGCAACTTGTCACAGTGTGATGCAAGTTTAAAACAAACGGTCATGTGATGTAAAAAATGGAGTGTAGACTTGAAGGTAGGTATACCTGTTAATGCTGCTTTGAAAGGAGAATAATTACACTTTGCTTAGCAGCTATTCACATGGAAGGAAAAATACTTGGAAACTACTGAAAGGTCCTGAGAGGCAGGTTGAAGCGTGCATGGGCTCTAAACCCGAGTGGAACAGATGGCTGGAAGGCATCTTTGAACTCTTCAGAGCATCAGTTTTCTTCAGATGTTTGTTTTTACACAACGGGTTACAAAACAGACCTGCAGTTTAGATACCATTGATTCTGAGAGAAAACAGTATCTTGACATTCATAGCGTGTCTGCTGCAAAACATAAAAACCGGTGCAATAAAAACTTGTAGCGACTTGAAACGGCACGTTTTTTTTTTCCCATCTCTCAAATGAGCTATATTCAAATCATTGATGTACAAACTGTTCTCTTCTTGCCTTTATGACCAATAAATGTATTAAAATCTGTTAAAGTTCTAAAACTTGTTGGTATCCTTCCAAAATAATGGAAAAATATGATGAGACTGCCAAAAAGTTAGTTTTGTTGCATTAGTCAAAAACTTAAGAGCACGACAACAATGTTTGTGAATTCCCATGTGACTTTATTGTTTTACCGTCAAAGTGGAGTCCTCCTGGATCTTCTTCTTTTGTGATGACTGGTGCAATTTAAAAAAAAAAAATAAAAATACAACATCTCTCACCTTGGAGTTCAGTTTGGAAGGTTTCATTAGTCCTTTTGTTCTGCCATCCACATTATAGGTCTGATTTAACATGGGGTAGCGTTTTCTCTTGCGTCCACCTTCTACGAGTTTGGCTGTAGACCCATGAACCTTGTACTTTGGAATAATCGTGGCAGCTGTGGTCAAAGAAACATGAAGCTGCTTTGAGATTGTTTTGCAGTCTTTATCTTTTAACATGAATATCTAATGTTCTCTCCGAGCTCCTCAGACAGCACTCACATTCTCTGTTCCATGTTCAATGTGGTTCCTGCAATGATACCCAACAATACTGCGGCTGTTTGTCTCTTTAAACAGGCCAGATGACTGACAAAAAGCTTCAAGGCACATCTTTGCAAACATTTTTTTTTTCATAATTAATTTTCTTTATCACAAACTAAAACTAATCCAGATATACACTGGGCAATTTCTGTTAAATTAACCACTTTTCATGAGAAATGTATTGTTTTGAGCTGTAAAGATACCAATAAATGTATTTGTCTGTACATACAAGCTTGTTAATCAAATTAATAAATTGCCTAATAATCCTTCAATGTGAAGAGAAACTGGTTTGATTCTAAAAATGAAGCGTTCACAAAAACAGAAGGGAGAAAACGGACATTGAAATGTAAAATTAAAAGGGGAAACTAATTTTCTTTATCAATGTATCAAGTTAGATTAATTAATTTAATAAACAAAACAATCCAGGAATGCCCAAAAATTAAGAGTGTTATCAGATATAAAATAACAATTACAGAAATGTTAAAATGAAAATTGCTGATAAAGGCCGAAGCAGGAAGTCACCAACTAAAGCTGTGGCCTTTCTATTTAAAACTTACGGATGTAGATCAACTCGATGTAATCAAATAACGTCTAAGAATCTGTGTTAACAGGACAAAAGTAATAAATTGAGTGACCTGTGACACGTTAGCAAGAAACAACATTAACATAAAAGTGCAACTAAATGAGCTCAAATATGCAGAAAGTTTCAACTCTGATCACTTCAAAATACAAAGTTTTAAACAATGACTACGTTAGTGTACTTTGATTGTTTAAAACTAACTTTTACAGCCCAGTTACCACATTACACCTTCCTTGACTTTTTTTTTTTCTGGTTGTGATAATTACTAACAAAAAAAAAGCCTTGTAGTATGTTTTTCCAAGTCACTTGGCAACAAGTTGTTGCAACAACGATGAAGTTGGAGAGCTCTCTAAATGGTTCTTGCAAAAGCATCAACCAGGTTCTACACAGGTTGGGGTCTAAGGTGTGGGTGTCTTAGTTTGATCTGTTTACTGAGATTATCCAGCTGTAATCCCTGATCTAAAAGGTTATCCAAACTCAGCCTGCTTGTATTCAAAGTCTTTACTTGTGCACAGGTCAGGGACTTTCTGCTCTGCTTCTAACCTCTAAACTTTTCAACAAAGAAACTCTGGTTCAGTTTATTACACCCAAAAGTATTTCAAGTTTCACAGAACTCAGTCTGCGCACGAAAACACGTGAGGTCCAAGATTAAAATGTAGAGAATCACAGAAAATATGTTCTAAATAACGTGTGTAATGTTAATTGTGTTGCATGTTTGTTTCTTTTCATTTTCTAATAAAAGTGAGATCTGAGGATCAAATAATTTTGATAACTACTTCAGATGAACAACATCGTTTATGACGTTTTATCTTAAGATAAGGTGGGCAGCATTCTTGCACTCTTCTATTGTGTGTGTGTGCATATATATACTTTGTATATATATATATATATATATATATATATATATATATATATATAGTTTCAACTAAGCTGTTGTTCGGCGTATTGTTTTACTATTAGTGTTTAGTGTATTCTTAGTTTAGCTCATTTCTATAGTTCATATCTTAGATCTTATTACTCTTTTATTTTCATTTTTGTCATTTACCCTTTATTTATCCAGGAAGTCTCATTGAGTCACGATAACTCATTTTCAAGAGAGACCTGTTTAGGGAGCAGATGGTGGGGGTTAAGGGCCTTGCTCAGGGGCCCAGAGTGGGGCGAGTGAGGGTGATGTTGACGTATCGGGAATTGAACCTGCGACTTTCCGATCACAGGCCCATCTTCTAACCTCTGCGCCACCACACCCCAACATATATTTTACATTTTATACATTTGTTGGATGTAATTGGGACCCTGTGTACACAATTCCATTCCACCACATGTACCACAATTGATGAGAATGACAATAAATAAACCTTGACCTTAAGTGTCTGTCCCACAAACAAGGTCAACGTCTTGTTTCATCTGGAGCCCATGATGTAAAGTTACCCCTAGTTCCTTCACAAACAAGAGGACTTCTTCCTGAATTTGAGCTGTTTTTATCAGGAAAGCCCTGCTTGTGTAGTTTACATTTTTACTAAATTTTACTGGAAGATAAAAATAAATACACGCAAACTCAGAAGAAAACTGATTTCGAAAGATGATGCAAACGCAGCTGGAACCCACTTGTTTTTTTATGTCTGCAAACAGTAAGTGGCAGGTTCGTCTGCTGTTTGTCTTCTTGTTACTAATCGTTTCCATGGTAACACATCAAATAGAGTTGTGGGTGTGAAAGCTTATCTTTGTGACTTGCACATGAAGGCAATTTAGCAAACTGTTGAATGGTTGCGCAATATAAAGAACAAAAAAGTAAAACGTTTCAGGGAATTCAGGCTATTTTCTATAAGTTTGCCCTTTTTCTGTAAGATAATACAAAAGAATGAGACGGAAACTGGACCGAGAGATTAAAAAAGTGATAAGTATTGCATATGAGTAAAAACACTAATGAACAGCAGGTGGCACTCTGCTACAGAACAGGCCCTGAAGCTCCTACAGTTTGCAGAGCTTTCAGCAGGTAACAGGAGATGTATGAGAAGGATAATGTTTGCAGGCTGAGTCACCTTTGATCGAGCCACGAGGCTTCTGCTGGAGAAATGCTGAGACTTGTGCAGACGAACGCTTCGGTTTCCAGCTTTGCGAGATCACTTGAAAAGAGACACAGCTTTCTGAGACTCGCAGTGTAACAAGAGCAAATCCTTTCAGTGGTTTTGGTTGAAAGGAAGATAAAAATGGCATTTAAAGGGATATGTAGTTCACTTAAATTTAACTCAAAATCTGTAAAATTAGCTGAGTGACTCCAACAGTTAATGATAAACTTTTAAATAAAACAAGGTTCAAGGTTACTTTATTGTCATTTGCATCACAAATGATGAATGAGGTGGAATGAAATTGGGTACTCAAGGTCCCAATTACTCTGAAATATAGTAAAAATATATTGAGGATATACTCTAAACAATAATAATATAATATAATATAATATAATATGGTGTATTAACCAGCAGCCTGAACATGAGTCTGTTGTGTGATGGGTATGAAAATATCAGCTTATGGGTAAGAAATCAGCAGCATAGATAATCAGCAGCACAGATAAAGTGTCAAATCTAAACATTAAAGTGTGATTACAGGGATTTTTCTGGTTAGAGATTCATGAGTCTAACAGCCTCAGGGTAGAAGCTGTTCCTCAGACTAGTGGTTCTACATTTTATGCTCCTCAACCTCCTGCCTAAGGGGAGCAGGGCAAAAAGTGTCTGTGCTGGGTGAGTGGGGTCCTTCATGATGCAGGTGGCTCTCTTCCTGCATCTGGTGGTGTAGATGTCTGTGATGGTGGAGAGACTGACTATGCGGGGAGGGGGGGGGGGGGGGGTTGCTCCTGAAATCCACAATCATCTCCTTCATCTTCTTCACATTGATGCAGAGGTTGTTCTTCCTGCACCAGCTCTCCAGGTGTTCCACCTCCTGCCTGTAGCTGGATTCATCGTTGTTTGTGATGCATCCCACCACCACTGTATCATCTGCATACTTTACTATGATAGCCTAGATGGGTAGGTGCACAGTCATATGTGAGCAGAGTGAACAGGAGGAGCTCAACACACAGCCCTGAGGAGAGCTAGTGCTGAGGGTTATGGTGGAGGAGGAGAAGTTGTGGATCCTCACAGACAGCAGACTGTTTGTAAGAAGTCTAGGACCCAAGAGGGGCTTAGTCCTAGTGTGAGTACTGGTAATTTGTCCATCAGGTTCTGGAGAATCCTGGTATTGAAGGCAGATGTGAAGTCCACACAGAGTATATGGATGTAGGAGTCCTTCTGCTCCAGGTGGTTGAGAGCAGTGTAGACCACAGAGATGGCATCCTTTGTTGATCGATTCTCGCGGTATGCATACTGGTGTGGATCCTCACTGATGTCGATGGTAGCTTTGATGTGGGTCATGACCAGTCTTTCAAAGCATTTAGTGACTATCGGGGTGAGGGCTACTGGCAGGTAGTCATTGGAATGATAGTAGCGGTCTTCAGGCAGGTGGGAACAGTTGCCAGGGTGAGGGAAGAGTTCAAGATATTGATCAGCACCTCACAGAGCCGATCAGCACAGTCTCTCAGCATACTCCCAGGGA